ACTCTTACCCCCCTATGCTTTAATCAGTAACAAAACCCAATTCAAGATGACCGAGCAGACATCGAGCGGAAGCAGCTTTCTCCAAGCAGCCTGAAACACCACCTAACTTAGTCTTTCGTGACAATAGCCTTTGCGCGGGTACTACTGCACTGTTTTCCCTCACTCATCTATAATAGGTGTCGAACCAGACTCTTGGAAGTCAGGGCTGGTACTGCTACTACCGCTACTGCTATTTCTAATACTAATAAGTAGGGTGCAGCTGAGTGATAGTATTTTCTGGTACTAACACTGACTGTATTGTTAGTTTCTGTGGGTAGTTTGTAAAAAATAGCAGTAATGGAGTACATTATATTTACACATGGTTAATCTGAATGCCACTTTGATATATCGTCAACTTTATATTGTGGATGCTGTATTTGACTTCTAGAAACAGTTTTCGTTGTCATTACCACCTTATCAGAAAGAGTTGCATTTGTAATTTACAGATCACAATAGGATACTTTAATATCGCACTTAAGACGGGACACTGAACAGACGAGTGACTGCAAGAAATCAGTGTAGATGGGTTTGTGAAAAAAGCGATACACTTCCATATATTTGGGTTTCACCAAACGGTATTATGGGGAAAACTGAGTAGCACTCTGCTCACGAAAGCATGCCTGAAACTGTAAGATTTGAGTTCGGTTGGAACAACGTGTCTATGTGCATATCATAGCATTACTTATAAAACGAAGTATTCAACAGTGCATGTGATTGCTCCGGCACCTTTCCCCAGTCCGCCACACGATACAAAACAATGTAAATGTACATGTAAATGACCGTTCTTCTTGTCTATGACGACCAAGTGAATCTGAACTACTCCTTCTTACAAATCCTAATGCTCAGCTTGCTTAACCGAGTGGAGTGGAGTTTCTACTCCTTAAGATTTCTGCTAAACGAGCAAATGGAGACGTGAGAACTAGTGTACAACTTTCATTAGTCTGGGGACCCGAAGAGAAATCTAGTGGGCTATTTAAACGTGTACCGACATTACTCCCAGAATATTCGCTTTTCATGATAAATTTTGGTTTGAACGAAGTTCAAACGTATCACCAACACAAATAACAACCTATAGGTTGATACCTTTTCAGATTTGCTGTCCTATTACTTAAACCCAAACTCTTTGCCTTCATAGATCATGCCAGATTACTTGAGAAATCAAAAATCAATATGCGTTAAATGTGCCAACGCAGAAACTCTGACAAAGGTATTAGACTATTTGGCGAAAAACAAGTGTATGCGACCATTGCCCCCGGAGCTCAAACGACTGCTTTTGATGGGGGGAACCTTAAATCCAAACTGGGCTCAAAGGACTGCCAAGCGGAACGCGCCTGATTTAGTCGAGGCGTCTACGCACTCCACGGCTGTCCACGCGGACGTATCGAAACTCTGTACTCCGGCTGCTGTGAAAGACGACGTATTGATTACGGGCAGATTTGGTACCGTTGCGTTCGCCAAGCGCCTGACAGAACACCTCTATGACGAGTTTAACAAGAAGAAGCGGAGCAAAAGGCCAAAAGCAATGAAGCAAACTAAAGACTCAAGTGAGGACCTCCTACGAACTAAACAACTGAAACGACTAATAGCAGTTCCTGAGGCTGGACAACAGAAGACACATGACGCTGATGGCGAAAAACCCCATCTGCTTGTCGCGCCGCCAAAGGATGTTTACTCTTCTTACCTAGAGCAAGCACTCGGGCACAATGGACAAACTAGACGTAAGAGTCTGCTTCAACTCGCCCGCCAAAGTCAGATTCTAATTGGCGAGCCGGGTGACGTTTGGTTCCAGATGCAGAAGGACGGACAGGCTGTTAAGGAGGCCCACGAATTGCCCTTTGCTGCGCCCTACTATCCACCCCACCTAAATCCGAAGCTGGCAGATGTGCCAACAGCAAAGGAAGCGGCACGAGA